TAAAAAATTATAAATGTACCTAAATATGTAAATAGAATAATAAATCATAAATGATAATTATGAAAATAGAAATATGTAAAAATAAAATAGAAATAAGTAAAAATAAAAATTTTTTCTCATTATTTACACAAAAAAAAATTTTTTTAATTTTATTAAAAAAATTTATTTTGTTTCAAATTCTCTTTCACTGTATCTTTTTTAAATTCAACTTAAATCAACTTATGGAATTTCTAATTCAGATACTGTTTTCTATAGATGTCCAGGTGCAAAAATTTTCTAAGAGTTAAGACAATGATTGTACTTTTACAAGGCTAAGACGACACCAATATCAAAACGACAAAACTCTTAAAAAACGTCTTGAGTTAAGAATCAAGACCAAAAATCTTGGACGTCTCTACTATGTTCCTTCAATTTTTTATTGAAAAATTGTGAGTAAAACTCCGAAATTATTAAAGTTCAAAAATCATTGCAAAAAGAATTTTTTTCTTTTATAAAAAAGCTTTAACGACAAAGTAAGAAATTTCAAAACTCATTTAGATTAGAGATAAAAATAAAATTTTCATTCAACTTATTTTTATGTGTTTAATTAGCCGGTTTAAATAAATTTTAGCTAATATTCAATTTTTTTACACCAACTCCTCTTTTATCCATTCTCCCTTCTTCAACTTCACATTATTTCCTCGTGACACTCAATCAGTCAATAAAATGATTAAATTTTTATTCAGAACTTTCATACAGAAATTCTTTCTCAAAATCAAAAGGAAAATTATAAATTATTAGTTTTGGCGCGAATTTTGTGGCAATTGTGGTCTACTCTTGATTTTTTTGTTTTTAAAATTGAAAGAATTGATATGATGAACTACAACTTCGAAAATCTTTGATTATATTATCTCTATATCACATAAAAGGGGAGCTAATTGAGGATATAAAATTAGGCAGTGATTGAATATAAAATAAATTTGGGATGAAATAAAAATTTGATTTTTCTACCATTATTCATCATATCACTAGAGAAGATCTTAGAAATTTTTTCAAATTTTTTCTATTTTGATTTTCCATAAAAAACTAAGTATAAAAATTTTCCCTATTTAAATTTCCGCCACTGTAGGTGTAATAATAGACATAAGGGGAAATAATCGACTATAAGTCGTCTCTAGCAAGGATAAAATATAAGCATTGAGTGTACAACTGATCAAAGATAAGGTGGTAAAAGAATGTATTTAAATGGGAGGAACATTATATGGATAAAAGAATAACAAAGGAGAAAATGTTGTTGTAATATAGATTGTATGAATAATAATAATTGATTAGAAATAAATAAATAATTAAAGTGGATATGCCTTACAATAACTAACGCCAGAATATCCCTCATAATATACCTTTAAATTTTTGTTTTAAATGTTTGTTTAATTAGCTGAAATTATATACGCCCCAATAAGCCTAAATTATTCTTATGATTTTTTATACTTAATATACCAATAATTTTTATATTGATGAAATATAAAAAATTAATAATTTAATATTAATTATTTTAAAAGATATATTTTTAAAGTTAAAATAAAAATTATTTATAAGGTTATTAATTATAAGCATTTATCAACTTTATTTTAATTAGAAAAAATACCAATTTATTTTAAAAATGCAAAGAAATTTTATTAAACAATGCAAAGTTTGTGGGGCAAAAGAAAATGTTCATTTTCATTATGGAGTTTGTTCTTGTAGGGCTTGTGGGTCTTTTTTTAAGTATTTTTAAGCTAAATTTAAAATATCTCTTTTCAAAGCTCAAAACAGAAATGAATGGAAATATTGTAAATGTAAATGTTCGACAAAATAATTGTCAGAAGATAATGAGGACAAAGAATCCCAAACTAATTTGACAAAATGTTAAAGATGTAGACTTGAAAAATGTATTTTTGTTGGAATGAAAAAATTGGGTTTGTTATAATAATGGCAATACCCCGTGCACTAAAATACCACACATAGTTTTGTCGGCTTCCGATGACCAATACGCTCAGATCCGCCGATATCTCTCCATATTACTGATACAGTAATCGACCTAATCACTGATAACCCCAAAATCTCCCGATGTCACTACGAATCTCCAAAACTCCCTTAATCATTTCCCGAGTTTAATAATTTTAATTAAGGTAGTTACTATAAGTGATTTCTCACATTTTTATAGTATAACTAATAATTCTAAGACAAACGAGAATTTTATTTAAACTTTTGAAATTTTAGAACCTTTTAAACTTATTTGTTATATTTCCTCTAAAAGTTACTTCCTCCTATTATCACGTTTTGTTCACGCGTAAATTGCATATAACCTTGAATTCAATCACGCTTTGAGCGTAGAGAATTGTAGAAAAGTACAATAAAAGCTCTCACTTGTAAATACATAAAAGAATAGTATCAGTGCCAATCACCTGCCATTGAAAGGAATTGGTTAAAATGTTACCTAAAAATTTTTAACAAGGAGAAGGATTTCTGCACTTCCCCTATCCCAGGATTCATAAATTCATTTTCTTCATCTGTATATTCCTTACTGTGAGATGTAGAGCCAAAATTAAAAAAATTATAATTTGACATTTTATCTCTTATAAAGTTATGTTTTGTTTAAAATTCTAAACTGGCCAGAATCTTCATTTAAACAAAATAATTTTATTTTATAATTTCTGATAGTCTTTATAATTTAAATTCTATAACAAACAGAATATTTATCTTTTACCTCCTCTTTGTAGTATCAAAAAAACCCCCAAACCCCCATCAACCCCCCACCCCCCTCATCAGAGTATGAGAGATATATGACGGAATTTTACATAGTTTTTTTCGATCTGATTAAGCTAGTTTATTAAATTTTAAAGCTAATAAAGTTAATTACCCAACCCACTCATGTTTAGAATACAATAATCAAGTATTACTAATAGGTTAATATAAGAAACTTTCTAGAACAAAATTTCTTCGGGAAAATCATTGATTTTCAATGTTGAATTTTTTTTATTTTTTAAATAAAAAATTTAATTTGAGGATTTCACAAACTTTATAATTTTTTATACAACTTTTTATTTTATTAAAAAAGACAATCAATTTAAATAAAAAATTTTTTTATAAAAAATCGACTTTTCTAATAAAAATCAATCAAAAAAATTTTTTTATTCATGTATACGCTATTTTAGACTTTAAAAAAGAATTAATTAATTTAGCTAATTAATTTAAATAATTTATATATAAAAATTTAAATTAATTTAAAGATTTTATTAAAAACAAATGAAAACTTTGTTACGATTGTCGAACTAATTTTGTATTTTTTTTCACCTGCCATAATTTTGAATATTTTCTAAATTGTTTGTAAACTTAACTAGTACCAGCCAACACAAATTTAATCTTTTACATTGTTCATTTAAAACCCGTTAGTCATTCTTTCAACTCCTTTGATCTAAAAATGTAATTTCTAACTTTTACTAGTTGTCACCGAACATCTGCTATTTTTAAACCTTGTCTATGTAAATTCCAATTAAAATGACCTGCCTATAAAAGCCCATCCCTTTACTCTCACTTTAGCTTTTTTTAGCTTCACTTTAGCTGCTTCTTAGCTTTTTTCAACATTCATCCTTTTTAGCTCAACTAGGCTAAACCTCCCTCTGAATGAACAGACAATTTATACCAGATCTTAAACAAGAAGATCATTTCCCCTGATTATCCAGAATACATTTCTTCCAATCTTAAACAAAAAGATAAATTTAATTTGATCCCATTTTCCCACTAGACTTTAATCTTGAGCCACCTTTAATTTGTATATTTCGAATTCCAAGTAAATAAATATTTTATGTTTTTTCATTAATTTAATAAATTATGGCAAACAACAATTTTGCCTTAAAATCCCATTTTTCAAGAAATAAGAAATTGTGGATTTTATAGCTCAGCCGGTGACCCGTTATTAACCGGGCATCATATCCTCTACTCCAACTTTTAATATTTTTTGCCAAATATTCTTTCGTTTTCTCCCGATATATTTAAAATGTCAGCATTCTACAGAGAACAGATTAACAACCTTTTCATTCCCGCCACTAAAATCGTAGAAAACCAGAAAACCTTCCCCGTCCCGATAAAATGCCTTACCCAGACCACTACCCAATTTCATGATTGTATAAGGTCTATTATTGGCGACCTTGATATCGAAAAACAAAATGCAACATTCATTCTTGACAACTTATCATCATCTCACTCACAATGGATGGATCTTAGGACATTAATGACTGAAAATGAAAGGCTAAACGACAGCCAAATATTCGATGAATTCCTTCAAAAGACACCATATTTAAAAATTATTAACGAAATTAAACGCTACTCCCGTAAACTACGTTGTTACCGTAGTGAATTAGAAAATTCCCTACCTAAAAATTGCTTACAGTTTGACCATTCTGACCTCCTTCCAGAATTAAATTTAACACCCGATTGTATTACAACTTTAAAATCTCCCCCGAACCAACCTATTAAAGAAAATCTTCAAAGCCCTTTACAAGCACCCAATAATTCAAGCAACCATTTTTATCCAAACCAGACCCATACTCAAATTAATTTATCGCCATATCCTTTAAACCAAGAAACCATTCCTTACACCCAAAATTCAAACATTTTAAAAAATGAATTAAATAATTTTTACGGCTCCCAAATTCTGAACTACCAATCTAATACTTATAAAGAAATTTTCTTTGGACCACCTCCCGGCTTTGAATCTATTGAAGAAATTCCCACTATCGATAAAAATAATCCCGATGACATTAAAAATTTTAATAATAAAGAATTAATCCAGTTACCAGAAATTACAACTGAAAAATATGAGGACGAACAACATACTCGTCTCGAAGAATCACCAAATAATCTGATTAATAATTCCCTCCCAAATTTACCTTATTGTCAAATTAATCATTTACAAACTCCAATTCCATATGAAATAAATTACATTCATAAACCAGAAGATTTATTGAAAGAAAATGAAATAATCACCACCAATCCCAAGTACCAAGAAATTTTTTCTGTAAAATTAATAAACGAAGCCCCCCTGCTCCGTAAAAAACAAGAGAAGAAATTGCCCAACCAATTAGGCCGAGAGCCAAAAATGAAAATTATTTCCCAATCCCCTATTACCACCCGACAAATACGCCCTACAAGAATGAGAGCCGTTCATCCGAATAAACTTAAATACTGCAACATCCCCACTAAATATAATATCCTTTTGAATCACGTGAAGCAAACCCCTAAAGAAAATCCTTTCTCTCAATTAATTCCATTGAAAACAACCCGAATAAAAGATAATTTATTTGAACTACAATTTATTCTACACGAGGTAATAAATTGGAAAGAAATACTGTCAATGATTGACAAACAACATGCTATTGTTCCTCGGCATGGAAAGACTACACGGAAAAAAGCAAACCACGTTAACAAAAATTGGTAAGATCAAAAGTAAATATACAGTAATTAATTCCCTAACTTTTACCATCTCCTTATTGCATCAACATGATCATCCCAAGAACATGAATATGCTTTCAACCTGGAACCTGCCTATGAATGAAACCCAAAGGATGAATGACAAGATTGACTGATCAATGAAGAAATAAAAATCCAAAATTTTGAAAGAATCATTTCCTGGTCGCCCCAGTGTCGCGTTTTGTACGCGAACTAATTTTGTATTTTTTTTCACCTGCCATAATTTTGAATATTTTCTAAATTGTTTGTAAACTTAACTAGTACCAGCCAACACAAATTTAATCTTTTACATTGTTCATTTAAAACCCGTTAGTCATTCTTTCAACTCCTTTGATCTAAAAATGTAATTTCTAACTTTTACTAGTTGTCACCGAACATCTGCTATTTTTAAACCTTGTCTATGTAAATTCCAATTAAAATGACCTGCCTATAAAAGCCCATCCCTTTACTCTCACTTTAGCTTTTTTTAGCTTCTCTTTAGCTGCTTCTTTTAGCTTTTGTGCTATTTTACTCCTATTCAACAGTCACCCTTTTAGCTCAACAAGGCTAAAATTCTTCCATAAAGATTACCGATAATTTATGCCCGATCTTAAACAAGAAGATCATTATTTTTCCTTGAAAATTTAATCCGATCCATTTACCACTAGACTTTAATTTTGAGCCACCTTTAATTTGTATATTTCGAATTCAAAGTAAATAAATATTTTATGTTTTTTCACAATTTAATAAAAAATATGGCAAACAACAATTTTGCCTTAAAATCCCATTCTTCAAGAAATAAGAAATTGTGGATTTTATACGATTTTTAAAATTACCTTTATTAATTTTATTATTTTTCTATTTGAAAGGTAATCTTTTATAATTAAAAAAGAAAAATAAGGATAATATTTCACAATAATTCCTTAATAACAAAAGGGGGTGATTCCTGAAAGACAATTTAGTTGGATTATCTATTAAATTAAAAAATAATTTTTAGGATCAATTGGAACTCCCAAACATCCAAGAATTAATCAAGAAAAAGGTAGTTAATATTTTTTGGTAATTAAATTTTGAAAAATAAAATATTTAAAGTTGATAGTAATCATTTTAAAGCTTCTACCTCAATTGGTAGTAGTTTAAAATGTCCGTGTGGTGAATATGACAGAAATGAATTCGATAAACCTGAACAGATTACTGTAAATAAAAAATAAAAACATCCATCAACTTGGATGTTCGATCTGGCCAAAATATTGGAATTGGAGCAAATGGAAAAGTAAGTAGTTAAGATAATTTGTCCTGCTACAGGCAATAAAATAAATTCAATAAATAAAATTTTAATGGAGGAAGTAATATGATAGAACAAAAAATTTCATTTTTTGTAAGAAACAAAAAATATTGAAAAATTTAAAATTGAGAAAACTAATAATAATATTTATTTATTAAAGACTTTCCATGCTATTTGGGAAGATAAATGTGTTGCTTTGAAAATTTCTGAACCAAAATCAGTTGGTGAAATTGAGCGAGCAGAAAATGAAATTGAAATATTAAAAGAATTAAAAGGCAAAGATGGAATTATAGAATATTATGGAAGGTAAACATATTCTTAAATAAATTTGATTAAACTAGTTAAAATTAGTTTTAGCGGAAACCCCGACCAGAACCCCGAAGGCTATCTTCGACAAACCCCGATCCCCAACGCAAACCCCGAGTCGTGGTAAAAGACAGGGTTAAATAAATTTGATCAAATACCTCTAATATTTACTCTATCTAAATAGCTTTAAATGTGTACACATTAATTATATTACAATTGCATAATATTCATTATTTTTTTATTATTTAAGTAAGATAGAGAAAATTAATGGCCAGACCAAAGTGTCAATTGTTATGGAACTTGGTGGAAAGAATTTGGTTGAATATATTATTGAGCGTAAAAAAGAAGTCAAAGAAAAAAAAGAACTTTATGAACTTATAGTCGACGTTGTTATTGGAGCAGCTATCGCTCTCAGCAACTTCCATAAATGTAAAATAGAATTAATATTTTAATCACTTTAAAATTATAAACTAAACCAAGTTAATATCTAAAAAATCCGGGACGGGGAAATGAAAATTGAAAGTAACCCTTGAAAGTTTTTTACTTAATACACAGCAGTAATTCCTAATAGAGATCGAGCTGGACCTGGACCAAGGCCTGGGTTTTTCCTATACCCAGAGTCCAGGCATTTTTTGACCTTCCTGGGTTTTTCCTGGACTACAGGCCCAGGATCCAGTCCAGGTCAAGAAATCAACTCCAGAGTCCAGGAACAGGTCCAGGCTTTTCAAAAATCTCGATCTCTAATCTTACTGAGACTTAGTCTATTTGATCTTTTTAAATCCAGTCTCATTTTGGCTGTTAAATCTGTAACTACAAATTTTTAGACCCATGGGTGTAAGAACGTTAAGATTCGATTTTAATTTTAAATAAAATTTAACTTTTATAATAATATGTCTATTTGTTTAGCTGGCGGCATTCATCTGGACATTAAACCAGAAAATTTTGTCGTCTCAAAAAAACAAAATGAAGAATTTATAATTGTTTCAAAGCTCATAGACTTTGATTTATCTCATTTATTACCAAATGGCCAAGACTCAATAGACTTGAAAGGAGCTATTGTTGGAACAGTAGGTTATATGGCACCAGAGTATTTTGATCATCGTCTATTTTGGTGTTTTTTTCGTCGCAAGAATCCAAAAGTTTATTTTTTCAAGCTTTTCTAATCAGTCAATGTTTAAAAATAATTATTTTAGATAACTCGTAAAGCAGATGTTTATTCGTTTGGAGTTTTGATTTTTAAATTAGTTTACAAACTTGAAGAAGAACTTACACGCTACTATGGAAACAAAGCAAAATTCATAAGTATATATGAGGAAATACCAGAAGAAATTGATGAAACTTGTGACACCAATTTAGGACTCATGATATCTCTTATGAAGGCAATTTTTATAATTAGGGTTGCACAAGAAATACACTTCCAATACTATACATTTAAGCAGTAGATACATGTTGATTCAGTACTTGTCAAATGCCCTCAGTTGTTTTTCTTGGATATGCCCCATCCTTTCTTTTTAGATAAACGGCTAACTATTTCTTAGACTATAGAGCCTTATTAGTGTTAGGAGCTTGGTTCCGTTGAAAGATCGAATCGGGCATAGAATTTTGCCTGAAACTAGGCCCGATTCAAAACCCCCAGCCCTAATCTTCATGTCTTACATATTAAAAATAAACAATTTTTATTTACAACAAAAATTTGTAATATTCATCCAAAATATTTAAATAACAAAACTTTTCAAACTATTCAGGCTTACACTGATTATGAACCAAAAGATCGTCCTGATATATCTGAATTTATTGACACTTTCGAGGATGAAGGCATAAATTTGGATAGTGAACAAGAAAATGAAAATGAACATCGGAGAGTTAATCTGATTTTGTAAATTAAATATTTTATTTTAAAGCAAAATTATTCAAGTCGACATCATTATTCATTTCTAAACTTTTCTATAATGCTTTTATAAAACAAAACTAAATTTGATTCATTGGAATCTTACGATAACAATGCTCTCCCCAATGACAATTACTTGTAGCTGTGATTTTTTTATAGTCATTTTCCGATGTATTTTTAAATTTTTTTATTGTTTATTTAATTTCCTTCTAAATTTACTATTTTCTATTAACCTTACATAAACTATGTATATTTAAATTTAACTACAAAAAAATTTTTGTTAAAAGTCCATATTCAATATCTCGATCAGAAATATCATTTCATTCTGAATTCCAGATTAACTTCACCCAATCAACTCTTTAATTTGGTTCCGCTGACCTTTATATAAATATTGTAAACTAATTTTCATATCCTCAAATATTATTCAAGTTTTTATTTAATTTTTACAGAATTAATTTAACTAGATAAAAATTTCTTAACCTTAAATAATTATTTGCAAAAAACATTTTTTTAATATTTTTAAATTTTTCTAGCTCAAACCAAAGCTTATATAGGTGAAGCAACTTTTTTTATAAATATATAGTAATAAAATGGTTACTATAAATATGTTCTCACATTTTTATAGAATTAAAGAAAACGCGGCCTCGAAAATACTTTGTTAATAATAAGTCTAAATTAATAGCTTTCTTTATAAAGTTAAAAAAACTTTATTTAAAATAATAGAAATAAAATAAATAAAGAATATTTATAATTTTAAATTAAACAGAAATTTAAAATTATTTTTTAAAGTTCTAGAAAATGTAGAATGAATTAAAAAATAACATAAAGCGAAGAAAAATATATAAAAATTTATTTTTTATTCTTTTCTTTCGTTCTTTAAATCGCGCCTGGCAGGTGCAGAACAAAACCGATAAAGAAGAAACTAAAATTCTATAAATAAAAATAAAATTAAAGGTTAAAGATTAAAAATAAATTTATAAAAAATTAATATTTAATAATATTCTCTGTATAAGAGAAAAACATGCAAAAATATCTTAAAAAGTCCCCAGTTTTTTTAAAATTACCGTATTATCTCTAATACAAGCCCTGGGCGTCTATTTTTCAATACCCCTCATTGACTGGGCTTCTAATAGGGCATGGGCTTCTATTAGGGCATGGGCTTTTATTTTTCAATATCGAAATTTTATAGAAGATAAAAAATAAAAGCAACAGAAATTAACTTGGCAGGAAGAAAACAGAAAAGAATGTAAAAATTAAATATCAAAATCAATATAAATATCAATAAAACTCCTTTTCCTCAACTTATTAATGAGTAAATCCCTTCTAATACCGCAAATCACTAGTATTGAACTCCTGAATAATCAGATTAAGCTACATACCTATCCATCTTTATTAAATCCATCTTAATTGTAAATATCCGTTTAATTCGAAAATATTCCTCGATATTCTCCTTGCTCTTAAATCAATTTTACACCTTGACTTTCAATATCCCTATTGATCCTTTTATCTT